AAAGTGACCCCAACGTTTCAAACACTTTCAACATAACTCATTTCACAAGTGCTCATCTCTGCTTTTGACCTGCTAGCAAGGCAACTGGCCAGCTATAGGTTTGAGTGCACTCAGTAATGTAGACTGAAAGATAAAGAATATAACCCAGTATAAAGATAATTATTTTACTACCTAGTATTAGCAACAATAATCTCTGTATTATATTCATTCACAACACTTTTGCTGCTGGGCAAAAATGACCCCAAAACCCACAACTTGTTATGACAAGAGTCGGGTTAGTGTTTATGTTAAACGAGCAGTGGCTTAATAACATACAAACACAGCACTGGTATGGATCTTTTCATCACTCTCCCAAAATCTCAAACTATTGAAGGCGAAGCCCCGTAAACTTTCACTAAGCCAAAGTAAGGTCACACACAGGAAGGAGGAATCTCATCCAGACAAAAATGCTTCACTAGAGTTAATGCGACCAGTGATATTAGTAAAAGTAGCACCTCCAGGTCATCCTCGGCTTGTGAGGTGAGGAATCAATCTTTGTCTTATTATAATCACAGAAATGCTAGTTTAGTTCTCTATGTTAAAAGCAACACATGACAGACATTGATTTGTACTCGTGTTTCTCTCAGATATGCAGTTTTATTCGTTTTTGTGAAACTTTAGCTTTTGGTGTACTGGTCAGGCCCACAAGCTGCGTAATAGTGTTTTAAGTATAGTTAGTAAGGCAGTGAAGCCAGAACAGACTTTGGACCAGGCTGAAATTAAACTGTTTATGTTTTTATGCTTAAGTTCTCCAACGTTTACAGATTGATCGCATGCAAATCAGAAGGTTTCAGCTCTCGATCACAAGAGTCTGACGTGACCTCCGTCAACCTGAACCATAATTCAATTTAGTGGTTTTAAAAGCAGCACCCTCTATAAGAACGTTCGCACCGGGCACCTTCGCAACCTAACACTGAACAAGCAATGATGTCACCGTCTCTAGAGCCAGTCGGTGTAAATTTAGTGTTTACTAGATTTACCAGATTTACCAGGTTTGCTAGTTTTAGCAGCTTTGGTAGCTTTGATGTCCATCTTAGTCTTCTGGATACGAGAGAAGATCTCCTTAAAAAGGGCTTTGTACTCTGGAGTGTTCTGCCCCAGCCGCTTATCCACCGCCTCCACCTGTTTGCTGATGCTCTCGATGGCTTCAGGGGTGGACGGCGATTGGGTGGGAGTAGGGGGAGGTGCCACGATGGGGCCCATGGCACAGTCTTTCATAGACGGGTCCCTGGAGACGGGCCGGGAAGTCTGGACGCCGGCGTGACACAGGCTCTCTTCGTGTCGTCGACACTTCCCCAACAGCTCCTCGTACTTCTCCAGCAGGGCGTGGTACTGCTCATCCACCTCTCTTAGGATGGACATCCCTCTTTTCCTCACGCTATTGGCGTGCAGAGCGTAGCTGCCTCTCCTTCTGCCGGACGCATCCCGGGCCACGATGGCATTGAGCGCCGTGTCGCTGCAGCTTTTCCTCACAGGACTGGAATCGGGTAACGCCTCACCTCCAACACCTCCTCCACCCGCGGTCTCCTCCCTGACGCCTCCTCCCGTCTCCCCGACCTCCACTTCCAAAAAGGTGTCGGTCTCCGGGGTGATACTGAGGACAGTCTGGGTAAGAGCCACGCCATCATCCTCACTGCTCAGAAGGAAAGTTCGAGCTCGTCGCAGCTGCTGCAGCTCCTGCAGCTCCACCTCCAGCTCCCGCACTCTCGCCTGGCAGCTCTCAGCATCCTGTGAGCACAACCAGTTAGTTTTATTTCAAATAAAATTCATTACCCACACTCCAAATAAAGACATAAATAGCACATCATAGCAAAATTCTCCTCCACTTAATTGTCTTTAATTTATAATCAACAAATCATCATTTTTGAAGTTACAAGGTAGTTTATTAAACTGCACACAGATCAGATTTAAAGAACATTTTACCCCTTTGCATAATCAATGACTATTTAGTCTGACAGATGCAGAAACCTTAGGCTGAAGTGGCTGGAAAAAAAGAAGCCAATGTGCAGAAACCTGCAGTTCTGCTAATGGCCACTTGAGGCCGCTCAAGTGAGCATGTACACGGACTTCTACCTTAAAAAGACAAACTTTCTTGCAGAAAAAATAAACATGCTTACCACTTGGTTATTTATTGATTGATTGATTGATTGGTAATTTATTTCAACGTGTGAACAATATACAAGTACATTTAGGAAAAAAATAAGAAAAAAATACTATACAAATTACATACAAAAAAACCCATTCTGATTAATTTACATGTTGAAAGGGAGTGGGAAGAAGTAAACACTTATTTAATCCCACCCCTTTAAAAAAAAAGGCTGAGTGGCATCTTATTAATACTCTATTTATGAGCACTAATTATGTGGTATCAGCATCTGTGACGTACCTCAACAACATATACAGCTAGCTCACCAAGCCTCGCTGTTCACATGTGGTCACACTTTTGACCACATTTGAATAGAATATGATTATGATTAAGGCCATAATTCTAAATTTGAAATTAGTTTGAATATTCAAAACGATACTCCATTAGTCAGTCGTTTTCATTAGGGGTGTTACATAATTAAATGTCATAACCAATGAAATCAAATGGACTCTGA